GCTCCTTGTAAAATTTTCATCAGTCACTGGCCAACTGCCATTAGCAGCGACTCTTAAGGGAATAGTTAGATAATTTGGGAAAGATGCTTGTTTGCTTTGTTACAGAGACTTGAATGAGAAAGTCAATACCATTCTGTGTCAAATATGAAGCTACAGCCAGCAGCCTGTTAGCTTAGCATTAAGACTGGAAACAGTCTTTACTGCTGACTTGGCTCCGTCAAAAAGGTGAAATCATCCCGCTACCAGCATCTCTAACGCTAATCAACACTTAATATCTTAATGCTTGTTCAAAAACCAAAGTGTAAAACAAGTTGCATTTCTTTCTCAAGATACAGTCCAGATTATAACTCCCAGTTCAACCACAAGTTCTTGTTTTCTGTGCAGATTAAGTAACTGCAATATAACATGACAATGTGCAAGTTTTAGAAGTGCCAGTAGATTTTGTTACATTAGGCAGGCCAAGCAGTTTCACCCCATTCCCAGTCTTTACACTAAGCTAAGCTAAGCTAAGCTAACTATCTGCTGGCTGTAGCTTCATGTTTACTGTAGTAGTATTTACTGAAATGTGGAACTATTCCTTTAAGTCACCTAAGAAGTGAAGATGTTATTTACAACACTTAATTACTTTGTGTGCTTTTTCATGAGTGTCTGGTCTAAATTCTGTCCATCCTTGATAAATACGTATCTTAGTGTCACCATCGACACCTTCAAAGCTAAACAACATGTCAAAATGTTCCAGTCACTGTTTTTAAGTCACATTTTCCTGCCTTTATTAAAATTTAAATCTTCAGTTTGAGTAAAAGAAGCTCTTATGTGCCGGAGTCTCTGGTTTCACCTTTATGGGAGACGAGTCTGTGTGTGGGACAGTATGACTAAGAAATGACTACATGTGGGAGACTTGGTAAGAGTGTTTATTTCCACTTTACCGGACAATGTCGTCTCAAAATCTGTGATTTAATGCTTTATTATGACAGCGGAGGTAGAAAGGCTGCATCCATTAAGGTTGTGAGTCAGGGATGGGGAGCACAGGTCAGTCTGTGGGCAGAGGCCAGACTCTGTGGCTCTTAACCTGGAGGAGTAGCTGAATAAAGCTAAATCACTTTTATAGAATAGCTTTCTTTGGATACTTTTTTTTTCTTTTTTTTTACCGATTTAACAGTTCATCACATAGACAAACTGCTTTCCATCCACAGCACTTTGGCTCAGTCTAGTCCACTCCTTTTTAACCACTTCTGCTGGAAGAAACATGTAACTTCTATTTTCTTTTCTTACACTTGAGCTCCACTGTCTGTACTATGAAATAAATAACAAAATAGCCATAAACTTATTGATTCTGAAAAGAAAAATGGCTACAATGCAGATGCATAATTTCTTCCAACTACTGAACTGTTCGTGTCCAAGAGGACGACACACGTTGAAATTGAAATGATGTGCTATGTATTCCTCGCTGTCTGCACGTCTTCATAAAGAGGCACATCATGACTTAGTTTTACCCCGAGCTGTTTGACAAGAGCTTTTCAACTGCGCTTCAATGCCAAGGCTGAAATCACATTAAACTGTCTGGCTTGATCTGGACATATTGTTACAGCTAGGCGAGTTGGATGCGTCCCATTGTATCCTGAAAGTATTATTCCCCTTTTGTCTAAACTTCCTTTCACCTTGTTGTACGAGGTTTTTTTTTTTGAGTCTACTGAAGTATCAACATTTTCATTGGAGAAGTTAAAGCGGCCAAAACCGTGTCTCTGTGTTCGGAACTTGGATATTTTAACAGAGACATTGTTTTACATGGGGATTTAACCTGTGACCCTGCAGATCCATGACACTTTCTTAAACTCCGGACCACCATGTTACCTCACCTCCTGATTTTATCTGGCAGATACTGAAGCTCCATTATCTTTTTTCTATTTCAGGAAGAGCCTAATCTCTATATTTGCTCTTTACAGATAACGGAGCGTCTGCTTATTCTGACAGCTGTGACAGCCACGATAATTACCAAGATAATTTCTCCACTGCAAAACACTTCCCAAACTGTTGACTTAATGTTATAATTAGTTGTAAAAAAAAATCTCAGTTTTCAGACACAGTTTAAATATCCTGTCTATGGAGTGAAATTATTCCACATTTTTTCCAAATGAGGTTTCATCTGTTTGAGTAAAAGTGTTAAAATAAGCCAGAAATAGGCAGCTCTCTTCATTAATATGAAGAAAATGATCCAGAGAAAGTCTTGAAACCAGTTCATTTGCATTGGACACGTTTAATATTAGCTCAGCAATTGGCAGATTTTCACTTTTTGAATTTTGGACTCAGTTTTTGATTAAATTGCTGGGATTTAGAAATTAATGTTCATGACTGTCATAACTGTCAGAGCTGGCAGAAACGGTTTGGTATCTGTAAAATACAAAAACCACAGAGGACTGTAAATAGATTACTTTCTGACCCGCGTCTCATTTTCCTCACCACATCTTGGATTGGTAACTCGGGCTATAACAAGTTTGAATTTGTGTGTAGTTTCCAGCTCGTCTGAGAGAGATATTAGCCAGAAAATGACAACGAACATAAAATTCAAGTAGTAAAAGTGTGCTGCCGCTGCGGCTGAACGAGTCTTCATCATTCTTTCGCCACACTGGCAGCGTGGCTCAAGGAATGTTTGTTGAACCGAACTGAAATATCTGAACAACTATTCGATGGATTGCTATGAAATTTTGTACAGTGCAGCTTTCAACACCACGGCAACATGAACACAGCATTTTCACTGCTGGGTTCCTTATGAAGGAGAGAGTAAGACTCCTGGAGCTCTTTAGAAAAGACCAGTTGTCTCTTTGGCGTGACAGCTAACAGCATCATTGCCTGTGACGCGTGCCTGAGTCGTCTATGACTCATAAGCTAGCAACAGACACATGGTGCATGTTTATGTTTTTATACTGAGTGGGTCAGAACATGATAAACTTCAATCTAAGCTTTGCAAGAAGAGTAAAATATAATAACTGTGTGAAAACTGAGACGATTTGATGATGAATGTTGAACACTGGGACATTTTAGTGTTGGACACCCAGCGTGAAACTGTGACAGTCCTGTACAAACCAGGACGTCTGGTCACTGTGAATTCGATAGATTAAGATGAGATTTTGAAGACGTTCATGTTCCCCTCAGGATCGTTGTAATGACTTTGGTGATCTCATGACTTTTCCTCTAACGCCATCATCAGGTCACTAATGACATTCCCATCAACCTCAGCTGTTACTCTGTGTTTAGTGCTAAGTAGCGTTTGTTAGCATGCTAACACATTACACTAATACGGTGAACATGGTAAACATTAAACGTGCTAAACATCAGCATATTAACAATGTCACTGGGAGCATGTGAGCATTTAGCTCAGAGTCATGCTGTGCCTAAGTGCAGCCTTACAGAGCCACAAAGTCACATTTTCCAGCAGCAGATATTTAGAGTATGATTTTATTGGCAGTTTTAAAAGGTGGAAAGACAAAAGGATTCAGGACTCTCTCTGTTTCTGGAGATGCCTGGCACCTTCATGATGATACCAACGCAGAAGCAAAGCCAGATGTACAGCAGTGCCATTCGAGTGATCTGTGTGGAGCATGTGAGATGAAAACTCCTGGTGATTCATTTGTATATGAGATCCAGTTGTGCACCAGCTCATTCATGACATCAGTGACTTGGCTTTGTTACCATCTACACTTTGTCTGATTGCTCTTTATATGTTCGGAGAGAATCTGTCTCCAAGCAACATTTTTGATGTTTTTCAAAATAGTTTTTTTTTTTTTTTTTTCCGGGTCAGTGGGAGAATGACAAAGAGAGAAACTGTGCTTGTGTACATGCAACCTTAATGCACACATGCATTTCTACTGTGGATAATTTTGAAAAAGGCCTCAGATCATCTGATAGGAGCTGGCAAATGAAGGGATGGAAACTGTGCCCTTCGTTTCTGGCTGCGTCTCATTTTCCATCACCTTCTTCCCTCCGTACCTGCCCTTAATGAGATCTCCTGTGTCGGGCTCAGAGCTCCAACCAGCGCTCTGGTAATTGCTTGAGAGCCCTTGGGTGAAAAATGCATTTGAGAAAGTTTTCCCATGCAGTATTTTCCTACTTCAGAACTGCTTGATTTTCCTTTTCTTTTATTAAACAGGTGTTTTAGCAGCCACAAAACTTTAATCATCGCTTACGAGATAAGGCACATCAAGTGTTCTTTGTGTGTGTGTGTGTTTTTTATAGTTGAAACCTTTTCAACAAGAGTTGGCGCAGGTCTGCCGCGGAGCCGCTTCACAGCAGAGGATTCTGGTGCTGCTCAGTGCACACCTACTCTCTCTCCTCACCAACCCACAACTCCATCTATTTGGCAGAGTCTGTGCTCCCCTGAAATCCTTTAGACCTTAAATATATTTGAGGCAGCTGTGAAGCCAAGAGCCATTACTGTTGTCAGGGAGAAGGCCGTCGTCCAACAGTAGAGTAGAATCGACTCACTAATAGATCACGAGTAAAGATCTGGGGAGAGAGCGAGAAGGATTCCCATTGCTCCGAGTGTGGTTTGGCTCCTTTGAAACTTAATCAAGGTTCAACCTGTCTTCAGCCAAACACCAATTAGACAAATTAGCTTCTAGGCTGAGCTTCAGTTCAGTGCAGCTCACACTCTTGTTACAGTAGCCTAAACAAAGGAAGGCAGCAGCCGGCAAGTGTTTGAGGAATGCAGAAATGTTTTGAGTAAAATGGGCAAATGACCCATGAGTCCAATTTGTACATTAGTTTGGCATAATCTCAGATTCAGCTGAATGCAGCCTTTGTTTAAACACAGGGAAACTAGAAAGAAAGAAAGAAAAGGAGCCAAAAAGAAAGAACAAACCAATATTTCATAGAGTGAAAAAAAGAGCTCTAAATTCAGTAATCTTAAAATGTATCTGTCCCGTTATGTGAAACCTGAGGTGAGTTAAATTTCTCCTGTATTGCATCATTGTTATGCTAACATGTTATTGTGTTTCTCATTGCAGTGGCTGATTGGAGACAGAGACAGTCACTGTGGGGTCATCTGCTCACGGACGCAGGGGAAGCCGGTGTGCGGCTCAGACGGGCGGAGCTATGAGACCGGCTGTGAACTGCAGAGGGCGCGCTGTAAAGATAAGACACTCACACTGGCACACCGTGGCCGATGTCGAGGTGAGAGCTGAACCGGATTTAAATCTATACCTGCAGCCCCTGTCTTTACGATGAGTAATCAGTCAGGGTGCGTTCAAGGAAACTCACATCTATGATTCATCTGACAGTTTTCAATGATATTCTTTTTCATGAAGTGCATGTTTGCAAATTGTTTGTTTTATTTGCAGCAAGGATTTTGTAAACAGCCTGTGCTAAAACTCCATCACCCTGTGACAGTAATGTGACTCCTAGTCTTTTTCACAACATGCTGTTTATCGTGGTCATTTTACATCACAACATCAAAATATATTGTGATATAATATATTTCCTGGAGAATCAATATGATTAAAAATTAAGCACCTCATCATATTTGTGCATAAATCATCAAAATCCAGTATTGGAACTAAGGCAGTCACAATAGTTTAGTACATCTAAAGACATTAAATGGACAGTCCATGGTATAAATGATATGTCAAAGGTCTCTCTCTCTCTTTCTCACACACACACACACACACACACACACACACACACACACACACACACACACACACACACACACACACACACACACACACACACATTATATATGGTATGATATGAAACAGTATAACATATGATTGTCAAGCTAACGAAGGATGTCTGAAAGGACGTGTGACGTGGATGAAAGTAAAGCTGGTACTGTGACGTTTACACACATCAGACCTTCATGTGACTTTTACAGGTAAAAACTGGGTGAAAATCGATCAGCTGCCAGTGGCTCCAGCACCGACCTCCACATCCGAGGGGAGAGACCTGGAGCTCAAAGGTGAGGAACCTCAGACGTGTTAAAATAATTCTGAACCCAATCATAACCTGATCTTCTCTACGAGACTGTGTCCTCTAAACTTAAAAAGCAGTAAGTGTGTTTAAGGGGTTGCAGTTTGGAAACACAGACAACAACAGAAAGTTTGAGGAAAGTGGAACTGAATGAGAAGATGGCTTTCATTTTCCGCCTCTCTGTAGGCGTGTAAGTTTTTACAGACCAGGATCACACACTTCCTCAGTCTCTGGATGCCAGCCACTCGACAACAGCAGAGATTGATAGGCCTGGAGTCAAGGTTGGAACTTGGCATTTCCCCCCTTTTTTTTTTTCAGCCCCCTCCCCCCCTGTTCATCAGGGAAAGCAACAGTCCCAACCAAATCCATTTTTGGAGTGAATTTTGTTCCCTCTGTATGGTGATACGTGGTTTCGTTTCATAATGTCAGTGGTGTGCCAAGGAAAGGAAAGCCGGGCAGAGCTTGCTCAGTCTTTGCAGATGCGGCAGGCCTGTTTTGTTGTAATGAAATGGCAGCTTTATTTGAGCAGGCAGTTCACGAACCAATCCTTGTTTACAATGGCAAAGACTGGCAAGGGCTTACTGAGGTGTGCGTGAGATTCAGATTAAACACAACAGATCAATTTGACTGCAGGGCATATGAATTGTTAACAGGTACAACAAACAACCACAAACAACAACAAACACAAAACTATGGCCGTTACAACAGACAGAGCTGTTTATCCATTATTTAGCCAGGGATACAAAAACATGGGGAAAATCAACACGTCATGAAACAGCTCATTAATCCAAATCTCTAAAATAAAGTGATGCCTTTTTGTTCACTCAGGTTATGTCCTGTGTCAAACTGAAAGTGTAGATTTTTCAAACTGTTTGCAACATAAAGAAAGAAAGAAACAAACCTCTGAATGTGGGGTTTTGCTGCTTTGTCACAACTAACAAGCACCGACAAACAAAAGGCCAAGACACTGCAAAGAGCCTCTGATCATTACGTTGTTTTTACATTTCCATAAATCCGACTTATTTAAATAAGAAGCTTCAGTAGGACATTGGACTGACATGAGCGCTACAATATTTAATGAGCCTTGTTTCTAAAGTGAGACTGAATATATTCACGTCATGTAACCATGTCGCAGGTCTGGCTCTGCCAGTATTTCCCTCTGAAGGAGACAACATGTCTGTCTCCTCTCAGGTCCAGAGATGACTTAAAGCTTGTATTTATCTAGGGGGAAGGTGAGGAAGGTTTGCCAAAAGTGGAGGACTGCGGTTCCACTGGTCAGCTTCCTGGTGTGACTGTGTATACACGTACAATCAGACGTGAAGCTCGACTCCACAGGAGCTGTGAGTGCAATAAAAACAGTAGTTCGCTGATGGGATTGTGAACCGGTGACCATCTGCTGCCGAGCCACTTTATTCTATGACCTTTCAGCCACTTCCATCTGTGTCCCCTGAGAACAGGTCTGGCTCATCAGAGCTGCAGAAACACGAGCTCAGTTTCCACTGACATTTCAAAAACATCAATGTAGAGTTCATGACGCACTCCTCAGCACTAACAATGTGCGGCTCACAGCCTCGCTCTGGCACTAGTAGTGGTCAATGGCAGTGTAATTTGTCGGGGAATGTGTTGTTTTAGCATTTTGGAACGGGGTAATAAATGGTCTCTGACTTGTCTGTGCTTGATATATCTGCAGTGAAGGGTTTTTAAAACCAGTGTAGATGGAGAGGTTTGATTTTCAGACTCATGAGCAACCATCACCACAGGTGCTAAAAACCTGTTCATGTTTGTAATCCTTAATCCAACAACGGTGGTTATTATGATTAGAGCGGTTCAATACTACGAGCATCGCTATTTCACCAGAAATACAACAGAGGAGTGAATGTTCTACCTGTTCACAATGGAGCCAAACACCTGACAGTGCAGGTATACATACTGTAGGCAGACTGGTGAATCCTATTCTCACATTCATAGAAAACTAAGATCACTTCACAGCTGATTGTGAACAGGAAAGAAAAATAGAAGTGGAAACTTATAGGTTAGAAAAATGGTCCAAAAGCCTGGATTGAAAAAATAAATAATAATGATAATAATAATAAATATTGCATTTCCTCCCTTTATAGCTGACATTAAGATGTCAGACGGAGCTCAGTGGTCAAACAGTAGTAAATTGTGGTGGTGCTTGTCAGCTCGCAGGTGTGAACAGGGTGGTGTTGAACATGAACATGTGTCTTCGGTAAAAAAACAACAGTAGTGCTGGAGGTTTGTGAGCAGTGTCTGAGAACAGACTGTCCTGTCAATACGTTACAGATGCAGGTCAGTCCAAGTGTCGTGTTGAGAGGAACCAGGCTTTAGAACAAGCCCGGAGACCGCAGGAGTCCATGTTTATCCCAGAATGCAACGAGGACGGAACATTTGCCCAGGTATCTCCCCTGCACCTCCACAGATGAGTGTTTTTCACTCTTACTTTCCCTCAGTGTCCGAACTGACAAACATTCGACCGAAACTCTTCACCCTCTGCTGAATCATGTACGTTACAAAGCTATTGTCATTTCTGGTGTGATTTACCTTTTTGCCTCTGCAGGTCCAGTGCCATACTCTGACAGGTTACTGCTGGTGTGTCACCAGCGACGGGAAGCCAGTGAGTGGCTCCTCTGTGCAGAACCGGACCCCGGTGTGCTCAGGTACTGGGAGGCTAACAGCCTGGAAACCTGTGGATGAAATGTCCAGAGTTTTACAAAGAATCTTGAAAGTTTGTTCTGTACAAGGTTGCATATGAAATTATAAGACTCATTTATTTGTGCATCCAGAGTAATGTTAAACAGGTTGTATGACGGAAACCATGGTAGGAGGGTAGGATGTGTCCTGACAGTTCTTTATTAGAGTTGAGAAGCAGCATAACAAGCATGTAAAAACTTCAATGGTGGCTGCATTTGTAGGATGTTGAGGCCGGGAGTGTTTGGAAGCCAAGGCGCTGGGGTTTGGGCCAATTGACTCTCAGTCACTTCAGAATTCAAAAACAACTGGAAATAATTTATGGCTTCGGTTCCGTATCAAAGACGAGATTGAGGATGGATGGGTTGTATTAGTACAGTACGCAGCACATTCAAGGCAGAACTTAAACTAGGTGAATTATCAGTGAACTGACCCCTACATCTGAAATAAATGACTTTCAGGAACTCTGACTGCGCTGATGAAAGATAAAGAGTGAACGCAGCCTGTGGGTTACAGTTAAAGAGGGTCTGTCTCTCCATACTACGGGCACATGTGTATTACATGTCATGTGGCATGTAGCAGGTGCAGGGTCAACGAGACAGCTAATGGCCATAGATCTAGGGGCCTCTCAGGTTCCCCCCCCCCCCCCCTTTAAGTGCTCTCAGCAGGCTGGAGGAGAGAGCGCGGGCCTCTGCACACTCATCTTGGATGGGAACACTTTATGATAATCACCATCATTTTCCCTCAGAAGATAATACATGGGGGTGTTTGCCAGAATTGGATTGCACAGTCACTAGAGCATATGGTGCAAATTTTGTACGGAGAGTGTGGTGAGAATGGTCGCATGCCCTTCTGAAGCTGTTCAGCAGACAGCCAGAGGCTTCCTGCTCTCTCTCTCTTCTCCTCCCTCAATTTCTTTATCTTTCTCTCTGCCTCAGTCTCCTGCTCCCTCTTTTCTCTGCGTTTCCCACTTGTGCCACTAATCAACTGTCGAGCCCCTCGAACAGAATGAGTCAAGTTCACAAATGGAGCGTGTCCATTCGTACCAGGAAACCACATAACTTTTCCTATTTAGAAAAACGTACTGAGATGTCGTACAAATGCAGGTCTCAAGTTATTCTTTATTTCTGCAAGATATAATAAAACCAATGTTTTGGATCTAGGGAGTGTCTTTTATGTGCATGTGTCTGCACCTGGCAGCTTCATAAGGTGATTTTCAAAATCTTAAAAAGAAAAACCTTTAAACTTTCATCCCAAACAAAGACTGATGCAGTTTACGAATGTGTTGTCAGCTGAGAAAGTGAAACAGCAAATAAGTGCTGTTGAAATCTTGTTTACGACTTGCCCTCTTTGCCCTCAGTTTCTAACTAGACAGTAACTTCATGCCAGCCTGCAGAGTTCCCACCACTTTCAGTTGTGCTTGTTATGCATTTAAAAATGGATCCTGATTTGTTTATATTATGCGCACAAGGACACATGCACGTGGCAACATAATTCACAGCCCTCTGAAGGTTTCACATTATTCCAGTGATTGAGAGCGGACAACAGTGATGAGCCAACAGAGGCAGGGCAGAAGACAATGCAGAATTTAATGTATTAAATAATAAACTTTGCAGAAGAAAAAGCACTGAACACGTAGAACATGTTAGGATACAGGAAGAAAAACTAAATGTAAACATAAATGTCGTTTACAAGAAAAGACCCCAGGGCACCTTTAATTATCAGATTTGTATATGTACTTCTGTAAAGCATCTAAATTGTGCGGTTTACACTCTGGGCAGCAGGACCATATGAAACTGGATTGTTTGAATCACCCAGAATAACACCTTCATCACCTTAACCGTGAAGCACTCTGAAGACAGTTTACAATTAGTCAAAAGCATAAATTTGTGTCTTAAAGTTTCCAATAGTTGGACTCAACCCAAAACACATGGATTTACTGACTGACTGCAGCAGCTCCACTGAAGGGAAATTCATTTTAATGCTAGTGTGATTTTAATTTTTTTTAAATTCAGAATGAAGAAGTTTGAAGTTTGATAAATTCTCATGCAGAAATTATTCTTGATCTCATGTGTGGGGAGTTTTGAACTTTTCCTGCACTCAAAGGAGTCAATACTTTCAGTTGTACAGGGTTAAAAAATCTCTTTATGAAATACTGAAATATATTTGGTGGCACAACACAATCTCTAGCGGTCTCCTTTCTGTCCTGCATAAGATCCGATATCTTCATTGTTTCTTGCAAAGGTATGTACGACACTGGAACCAGAATCTGGGCAA